CCTACGCAACTTAGTGAGACTCTGTCTCAAAATAAAAAATAAATAAAGGACGGGGAACTTAGCTGAGTGGTAAAGTCCCCCTGGAATCAATCCTCAGTACAAAAAAAATTTTTTTTTCTGTAACCATATTTGAATTTCTGAGAGTTATTTCTCATTGGTTGGATGTTTCCTTTTTAAGAAAATTTCTTGTTTTATGGATACATTTTCTGGTCTTATCCTAGATTCTGAAATGTATGTATTTTAACTGCTGAAAGTAGTAATTATAAATGTGTTTGGTGTTTTATTCTCTTCCGTGTGTCGTCTTTGTTTGTTTTTTCCAAGTCCTTTATTCAGGTTTGTTAGCTTTAGTCTTTAACTTTGTGCTGGAGTCGTATTCAAATGTCTGGCCTCTTGAGCTGTCACTCCATACTTTAAAGGTGAGGCATGAGGAACATTGTTTAGAAACTCTGCATACATGAGGCTCATGAGTAGGAGCTTCATAGTGGAAAGGTTGGCAGGGACAGGGCAGACTGTGAGGGGTTGGGAATTGGGGGAGGGACACTAAATGATTCACTACCAGTTAGTTAGAGTGTTTGGTTACTCCAGAGAGGAAGTCTTCAATTTTATGCCTAGGATGTTATGCTTGTCAGCCCGTGTTCTTACTTAGGGCTAAGCTGAAGAGCAGAGGGGAAACTCATTAGACTCAGAAGGCTACAACAAGAGGATCACCAAGTTCAAGGCCAATCTGGGCAACTTGGCAAGACCCTGCCTCAAAATTAAAAAAAAAAAAAAAAGATAAAAGGGCTAAAGATATGGCTTATTGGTAAAGTACCCCTGGGTTCAAGTTTCAATACCAGTAAAACAAATAAATACATAGGTAAATAAATAAACTTTGAAAAATAAAATTATGGATATAATCCTTATAGTTAACATGGTACTTCCATTCCTTTCTCCACTCAGCCTAAGCCATGGACCTTTCTGCTGCTATTTCTTCATAGAGAAAATCTCAGAGCTTCAATGCGTGGTAGAGAGTTGCCTAGCTATTTGGGACAGAGGAGAGGGACATAGAAATCTACTGCTCCCAAAACCAGTCACAAGGAAAACTTCTGTTTATAGCTTCAAGTTCACTCTCACATTCAGAGTTGGTAGGTGTGTCCAAATGCTGGAATCTTCTGAGGTTCTGACAAGAACTGTCTCCCCTCCTCATCATTTACATGCTTAGATGTCAACTGTCCTTGTTGACCAAATCACTTATCACTTGTCTGATACTTTCAATCTTCTAGGAGTTTGTTGATACCTTTGTCACCCATTCTCTTTATTTGGAGTTTATATATTGTTTTCTATATTGTTTACATATTTTTCATTGGTATCTTAGAAGGAAGCAGTTAAAATACATGCATTTGAACCAGAAATGTTAGCTTTGATTTTTACCATTTGTTCCTTTAAAACACTTAACAATTGGTAAGCACTTTGAAAATTCTTATATTTCATTTGTATTTTTCCAGTGCACTAAGTTATTGGGGGAGAGCAAAAGCAAGACAAAATTTTTAAAATTTCCTTTTCCTTCTCCTTTTACCCTTCTTCCAGTTGTATGAGACTGTCTTCAACAGACACAAGATGGGCACTCAATGGCTGATTGCACAAAATCTTTGATGCAGCCAACTACAGAAAAAAAGACAACATCAGATAATAGAACTAATAATGTGGAGTCATAATCACAAGCATTCATAACTCTATTACATTGGACCTACCCACTAGTATTTACCACAAAATCCATAGAAAACAGCATACTTTATTAGGCCCCCAAATTTTATTGTTCTCATCTCCAACAGGATTAATAGGTGGTCAGGTCTACTTCAGAGCCTTATTTCCCCAGATTGCAAAGGAGAGACTATCCTGCCTACCTAAATTTTATCTTTAGCACATTTTGGTGCTTTTGATGTGAAGAAATGTTATTGTTCTTTCAACCACGTAATATTTCGAATGAGTTCAAGACTGCTAACATCTTAAAGTCAGTAAATGCACAGGATTTTCAGTAAGAAAGTAAAAGGAATCATAACTAGTAGTGACAGTGAAGATGCTAATCAAATGCTAAAACCATCCAGATGAACTTGTGCAGTTAACTCGCAAAATGTCAGTTCTTCCTGTGGTTAGTGACATCAACTAATTGAAAACAAGATGCAGGAACATGCAGATGCTTGTTTTAACAAGTCAAAACAGCGTGGCTTGTGGTAGGTCTCATTTTGTAAATATTACTTGTTCTTATGAAGCTAAACTGAGAACAAGTTGAGGCTTGAGGACAGCAAACATTATTGAGTCTGAGAAGAAAGGTTGTTAGTTTTTGTTCCTTCTTTATTTTTTCCCCCTCCCTGAGAAAGGATTTTCTCACAAGTCTATGAGGAAATTAATGTAGATTGGTCCAGTGACCTGGCATTTCTTTATCAGTTTCATTCAACACTTAAACATAGACATGGTATAAATTCTTTGATGTTTTCTACTTCCAGGAATTCATTCATCACCTATTTACTGATGATATTCTGCAATCTGTATACGGGGTAAAAATGGGAGTTCATAACCCACTTGAATCTAAAGTATGAAATATGATATGTCAAGAGCTATGTAATGTTTTGAACAACCAATAAATAAATAAATAAATAAATGTAAGTACCAAATGAAAAAAAAATATGTAAATTCTGACTTTTCATCTAATAGCACATTCTAAAGGATTGTTCTGAATTATATGAATCTCTACAAATCCAAAGTTAATCAGATTATCCACCAATCCCAATGTTCCTCCTAAATCCCTGAATGGGTTTACAATCTATGAAGCTCCCTAAACTGAAAATTTTAGTTATATGCCACTACCAAGCACAATTATTTTATCAGTGATCTAGAAGTATTTCTAAAATAAGTGAATGGAGGGATTCTCAATGCTTTTTATTCCTCTCCTTCAACCTGACAGTTGAAAATTCTATCCACTCCACTTAAAGTCCCTCGTAAGGTATCTCCTTCTCCTTTCTGCAGGTCCTCAAGCCTCCCCATTCTTGTGTCTCTGACATTTAAGCCATCTGCATCCCTGCAGCACAGATTTGGTCACATTGTAGATTCATTTGAAAATATTTCCTCTCTTCTGTGTGCAAAATAAAATTCTAACTTCCCTTCCTGACTCTCTGCCCTTCTTCTTGCTACTTTGCCTGATCCATGAACAGAACTTTCCTCTAAAGCCTCACTTTGCCTTCTGTGAGCCCGCTCTGGGGTTTTCTGCACCCGAGCCTTGATCACATTGTCTCCTGGGTTGCAGTGTCCCTTCCCTGTGTTCTCTTAAGTGACCCAATCCTGTTCATCCTTTAGCTCCTAATTCAAACATCTAAGCCTCTAATCAAAATTAATTTTTTACTCCTAAAGTTTTTGTTCATACTTCTGCCCTAGTTCTCAACAATCTAAGCTGTATTTTAATAATCTGTTCATGCAGTTGTCTCTCTCTCTCTGAAGTCCCCAAAGCACTTAAATAGTGCTTGGCCCTCTGTAAATGCAGTGGAAAGTTTTCAGAATTGGCACCAAATTAAAGCCATATGTACATTATTTTGGGAATTACACATATGTTTCAGGAGTTAGAGAAAATAAACTAAAATGGAATCAGAAAGTCTTTAATACTGAGAAGAGCCTGAAAATATTTTTAAAATGTGATCCATGATGTGATATGGACTCATATTTCAAAAAAGGGTTTCTTTCACAAGGAACAGAGGGTCACTGCAAAACAAGATGGTCAGCAGAGACTCTCTCCTGGAGCCAATAGTCCCCACACTGCTCCTCAACTCCCCCTTTAGATTCTCAGGCCCAGACCTGTGGCTTTCTTTCTTGTCTTTATTCCCTGGGCTTGTTTTCCCATCTAGTCTTCCAGGTGTCATGAGTGTAGCTCTAAGAGCCCCAGTGCTAAAGTTGAGATAATGTGCTGCCCGTGGGAGGGAAACACTCCAGGTCCCTTTTGGAAAGCTTTCATTTCACTCCAGTACATCTGAGGGAACAGGAGCCTCTTTCAAATGTACCACCCTATACCTTTGGTGTGTGCCCTCCCTTCTTCAGGGAGCAGGGTTGGAGAGCCAGAAGCAGCCTGTTCTGGTGTACACTCCCGGGGGGCCCTTCATGGAGTCCTGTACTGCAGTCGCCCCATGTGTAATGGGCTCACGGAGCGGGCAGCAGGGTTGAGAGCTTGCAGTGGCTGTATTTTTTAATTATATATGGCAAAAACTCCTTGCTCATTCAGAGAAAGCCACTCTTCAGGTTTGCTCTCTTTTATTGAGAAGGTATTTTCCAATTAGAGGGAAATTATCAAGGAGTAAGAAGGCCAAGTTCCTATCTCCATCTAGCTGCCAACTTACCATATAAAAGAGAACTAATTATACTTACCTAAACAACGGCAGTAGGATCTGCTCCAGTAGAAGAATCTTTTTTCTTTGAACTCTTTACTCTAAAAATACTATACATATATACTAATCAGTAAATTGTAAGGACCCCCATGTGTAACTATATCCAGTTTTGACAACTATCAATTTTTATAGCTGATCTTATTTTATCTATATCCCATTCCTATACTTTGTTTTGAAACAAACCGGACATCATATATTTTTTTTCATTCACAAGTATTTTTAAGAATGCATATTGCCAGTTCTGGAATCCATATTTTGTTGTGTCAAAGCTGAAAAGGATTTGGGCTTCATTAGTGTGTTGAATTTGCAAAAGCGAGCTGAAGAGTTGGGTTGTGTGAACTAGCTGTATCCCCGTGATTAATCTATTCTGTACACAAGAGCAAGGGGTTTGGGAACGCCCCTCCTTTGGTCACCTAGTAACTTTTCACTAGTCAACAACAAGCTGAATAAGCTATTATGTTGCAGGAAAGTGCTTGGTTAGCTGACTTGGATCTTCTCCTAGATTTTAGAAGAAATAACCATCACCAGGTTTGAATTAGCTAAACCTTTAGGCTTTGCTGGCAGGAAAGAGGCATATTATTTTTGGAGCATAAAATGGATACAGAAGACTTGGGCTCAGGTAAACTAGGCCAAATATTGAAGCAGATTTGGAGACAAAACCAAATGCTTAAACAGGCACTCCTGGGTGATGACCTTTGTGAGGGGCCTGGGGCGGCCACCTGGATGGCCACAGTGGTCTTTCTGGGTCAGGAACTCAGTGGGGCTCTTCACCAACTGTTGGAGCACACTGCAGGGACCCTGTGTTCCACCTGCCAGCAGCTGTATGTGCTGCTTGACAAGGAGAACGCATGTATCTGGAGGCAAGGTAAGTATCTTTTTGATTTATTCCTTTCTCTAAGAAATATTGATAGGACACTATCTAAGAGATGCTACAAGCAGACTAACAAGCCTATGGTAGAGTCTCTGTTTATAAGGGACTGGCAATAGAATAGGGGCAGTATGGTAAGACAAATGCACAATAATGCAAGGAAGTGGCAAGTTGGTCCCACTGGAGATAAAAGACTGAAGTCTTATCTCTTTGGAATCAGACAGGATCCTATTTTTAGGTGATGAATTTAGAATTTTTCCAGAAAAAAAAGACCCAAAAAACAAAACATGATATTTGAAATGAAACTTCAATAATGAATTGGAATTATGTAGTTAGAACCTTGAGAATCTTGAGGTATTATTAACTGGCTATAAGGCTTAGAGGCCTAGTTTGGGGCAGAGAAAAGCAATTTTTCTATATTGGAATATAACATTCTATTTCTAGAGACATTTGAGCCAGGATCACTAATTACAAAAGCACTTGGAGGACTGGGGTGATGTGGGATAGGAAACTGGATCCCCCCACACCTATGGGGCAAGTTCTTGGGAACGGGCCCAGTTGTAGATGCTGAAACATACAGTGAGGCATGAAAAATGTGGTATCTGATGAATACAATCTTAGACAATAGCAGTTACTCTACCCAAGAGTAGAGGTGGCATCCTGAAGTCCAGCTGTAAATAATAGTGTCAAGCTACAGGGGCAGTCTCAATCCATCAGGAAAGCAGGGTGAATATTACTAAGAAATTCAGTCTAAAGGACAAATAGTGAACATCAAAGAAATCTGCCAAAGGCAGCAGGGTCCAGGAGCTGTCAGCTGGAGCTCATGATGAGGTTTCCACTGTCTCTAGAGAACATCAAACATGATCTTAGGTAATGTCAAGACAAGTCTTCAGCTACCAGAAAACAGGGAGTCCAAAATAAAGACAGGGTCTCAGGTAAAAGACGAAGAATAGGTTGTCAGAACTGGAGCCAAAAGATAAGCCCAGACTAGTGAAGGGATAATTTGGTGATGATTCTGAAAACATTGAGCTATGGACCCTTAAATCACAAATTCTTTAGTTCAGAATCAAATCCTAAAAACCGGTGAGATGCTAAGCCCACTAGAAGTCATCAGGTGACCTTTGTCATTTGCAAGAAGAAGGATGTGCAGATCAGAGACTGTTATGAAATGGGAATGGAGTGACGGATGGCATCAAATCAGGTCCTAACGAGGGTTTACACTGATGTAAAGAGGCTGGACTTCATTGAGCAGCCTTGAACAGACACCATAGGTTCCTGTAGGCATAATAAGAACTGCTCTTTGAACGACCAATTTGAAAATTTCTAATGACCACAAATCCAGAAGGAGAAATGGTATAAACCTAATCTTATTCTCATGGGAGAAAACAGCTCTTCCCCAATATATCAGCAGAAAAAAACACAGCTACAGCATTTCTGCTCTCCAAGCCTCATTTGGAGTGTTTAGCTAATTTTAGGCTCATCATTTTGAATGGGTAATTGTTTAACTGTAGTAACTTCAGAGGCAAAGGAACAAATCTCAAAATCACACCAAAAGAGGAATGATTGAGGGAGTAGCCAACTTCAGTTCTTACCCCAGAGAAGGAGGTCATGGTATTTGTTTTCACAATTCAAAGCATTTTCTTGAGCAAGAAAGATCAAATGTACTTTTTCTATCATGTTTAAAAGTAGCTTGTTTCTAGTTCCTAGAAGTGTTTAAAGTGTCAGTTGTGCAAATCAGCCTTTCTTCAGGAGATTGGCTTAAGTACCCATTAAGGGTCTTGGTAGGTTTCTAAGATTTTCTTGCCTTATCTCATTGGAGAAGCATGATTTGGTTTAGTTTCATACTTATTCTTTTGTGTGTGTGTGTGTGTGTGTGTGTGTGTGTGTGTGTAGAAATTATTGCTTTCATAGAATGCCTCATGAAAATGAAGGAGCATTTGGGGAATACTGCTCTGCTTCTAAAGAAAGAAGAAAAGGAGATGTGTAATTTATGCAGGATGCATGATGAACATACTCCACATCGGACAATGACCACCATTCATGACACAAAAGCAACAGACATTGCTGCAAGAGAGGAACTAAATGTCATAGAAACAGCTACTGTTTCTCCCACAAATGAGGAGGAAAGCCATTACACAAATCAGGTTCAGTTAAAAGAAAATAAAACACACATAAATTCTGAATTAGTGGAAAGAGAAAACAATGTGTCATTGAATGGAAATGTTACAGGGCAAGAAACGTCACAGAACACCATGTTCCCAGATAATGTAGAAAATGAAGATGATAAACAAATAGGACACGTGACTGCTGAGAACATAAATGGCAACAAGGAGGAGATTCATGACATAATCCAGATAACAAAAAGAGAAATTCAAGGGACCTCAGAAAACCAAAGAGAAGAGATTACCACATCCTCAACAACACGGGATATCTCCAGTAAACTTGTGAATAATCTTCCCATTGACTCAGACAGTCTAAAGCAAAAGAGTAACATAATGGAAAAGGAGTAAGTAAACACAATGAGAGATGTGCCTTTCAATATCTACCTGTTTATGTGTTTTTGTAGTTAGGAAATGTCTTCGCCCATTTGGGTTGCTATAACAAAATAGCACCAAGTGGGACCTTTTAAACAACATAGTTCTGGAAGCAGAGAAGAGAGAGAAGGTGTTGGCATATCAGTGTGTAGTGAAGAATTTCTTGTTCATAGATGGCACCTTCTTGCTGTGTGTGCACATGGCGGAAGGGGTGGAAGTGTTTTTTGGGGCCTGTTTTATGAGGGCACTAATCCCATTCATCAGGATTCTATTTTCAGGACCTAAGCACCTTCCAGATGGCCCCACCTCTTAATGCCATTACCTTGGTTGTTAGGATTTCAACATATGAATTTTGAGAGAGCACAATCATCAGGACCATACCCACATATATGTTATTTATACATGAATACGATTTTACATTTCCATGTCATATCTCTGACACATATTATACATCAGTAATTCAGGTTAAATTCCCCCCTCAGAAATTGGTGTGGCTGCCATTACTTATATTATTTGTTTCTTACAGTTTTAGAAAACATATGTATTAAATGTTTCTTTAAAATAAGAAAGAATGAACTAGATGAGAAAGTAATAAAAACAATTGTTCAAATCATTACTTTTTGAATTGTAAGAAAAAAGTAGAAGATTGCAGAATGTTAAAAAAAATTAAAAGAACATTTTCTAGCCTCTTATTTATTTATTTTTTTTTGTGATTTCAAGAAAATCACCATAATTTTTAAACCTGGTTTTTAAATTTGATTCTGTATGTTCATGCCAATTTTATCTCCTTGGAAAAATTTCACAGTTCTCATGAGACTCTCTAAATGTCCATGATTTAAATAAAGGGAAAAAGATTTATGAATCTGATGTATTTTTATGAATTATATTCCCTTCCAAAATTGCAAGTATCCTTTGTCTAGGTAGAACAAAATATCCACAAACCATAATTTCCCAGATAAACAATACCCCTAGAAGCAATAGGGACGGGGGGGACCACTTGTTTTGGGAATTAGATAGACTTGATTTTTATTTTCTGTTTTATTACACACTATTTCTGTGACCCTGAGCAATTTGCTCCATTGTTGACCTCATTTTTCTTGTTTGTAGAAATAATATATATTTCCTGGGTATATTTGATAAGGTCAGAGGAGAAAATCATGGAAAGGGCCTACCACCATGCCACTCTGTAGGTGTTGGTGCCCAGCTAAATGTTAGTGTGCTATTTCATTTCACCCTCAGCTGCCCTCACTTTCCCTGCCTCCTCCTCATTACCTCTCTTCACCTATCCCCTCCACATCACTGCTATGATGTATTGATTCTCTTTCAGATAAATTTACAGTACCATTTCCAGGATGACATCACTAACAGAGTCGGGGATCTTTGGCAAGTCAATATGCTCACATTGACCCTAGTTATCTATGAAATGAAGAGGTTCGGTTAGTTTTGCTGTGATGTCCCCACAGTCAGACTCTAATGAAGTGTATAGATGACTCGTTCAATATATGAAAGACTGCTGTGGTTTGTAAGAATTACTGTCCCTGCAAACCAACTGCTACAGTTTTTAGCATGTGGTTACCCATCTCAGTTGAGAAAAACATCAACACTTTATATCCTCACATTCAGAAATGACTCAAAACATCAGTTAGTGAGTCATAGGCCTGAACCACTCCCTCTAACACCTCCTTTAGGTGTTCCCCAGTTAGTGATTTCCTCTTTATGGCATCCAAATCAATTGTGCTTGGCTTGCATGTTTAAGAAGATGACTATTCATTCCAGTCTCCCAGGCTAGGAAGCCATCACACCACATAAAAGTACATGTCATAAACAAAACCTTTCTCAGAATCTGCTGTAGTTCCTGTATGTTTACCTTTCCAGAAGAACCCTATCTTCTTCAGACTAGCTGTCCTGGTGTGTACACAAAGGAGAAACAAGACTAGAATAAACCAACATGATTATTTTAGTGACTAGTGACTAGATAATATTTTATTAGGGTTGAGGAGAATGGGAAGCCTTTGTAGTTCTCCTCATCCTACTTCATCTGTTGATTGGGAACCATAGCTCTGGAAGAAGAGTGCATTGAGAGAGTGTCCAGACACGGAGATGGATTATTCCTGAAGTCACTGTACCCTCAATTGAACGATGTTCATTTTATGAATTAACTTCATCACTATCACTAGAGAATACTCTAGCAGACCAATGCTCTGTGTAATCTTTTGTTCCTTCTCACTTTATGAGTTCAGAATTATAAATATAAATAAGTGACCCTCTCTGTAATATGAGCATCTTTTTTAGATTTCTGCATTTAAGTGCCCTTTAAAATTCTATATACCAATAATATCAGTATATATATTGGTACTGATACATACCAATATGTAATATATACTAATAAAATTCTATATACCAAACCCAGATAAGATTATTTTGTAACTGTAAAATATTGCTGTGATATATATAGATCCTTTTATTTCTCTCTACCTTTGCTATGTTTCAGTCATTTCCCTAGTACAAAATGACAAATAGAAGAAGAGGAGAAACTCAAGTTGGTAATTTTAATAGAGATCTAATAGTTACTGAATACCCAGCTTATGCTAATTCATTACTATAAGAAGTTTAGATGTTTTGTCTCATTCAGTCTTCACAACACATTATTATGGATGAAGCAAACAGTACTTTGGAATCATTTGAGGAAGTGTAAGAGTTGAGTTTGAGTTATTGTGTTAAAGATGGATGGAGCCACTTATCGGTTCTAAAATTTACAACCTGTGAGATTTGTAGCAAGCTAAATTTTCTTTCTTTTCTTCCTTCCTTCTCCCTCTTTCCTTCTTTTCTTTCTTCCTTCTTTCCTTTCTTTCTTTCTTTTCGGCCTCCATCTCTATTTTGTGGTGGTAAGGATGGAACCCAGAGCCTCACATACACGAGGCAAGCACTCCACCGCTGAGCTACATCCCCAGCCCTGTGGTTAGATTTTCTAACCCTGATTCCTTGTCTGTAAAATGGTGATGATAGTAGTCCCCATCTGACACAATAGTTGTGAAGATTAATGATATTATGTAGACTTAAAACCTGGTCCACAGAAAACATTAAGTTTTAGCTATTTTAATAATAGTTATTGATGTCTATGGTCATACAAATAGAAAGTGACTGATCTCAAATTTGAGTTTAAATCTATAAGGCTCTAAAAGTCTTTGGTAATTATAATAGTTAAAATGAGAAAAATATTGTCAAGTTAAGCTTTTGGAATGATTATTTGAGGATTGTAAACAATCTGTTCCTAATTACTACTGAATTCAATCTCTGAACCATTTTCAATCTTTCTAAAAAAATAGAGTTTACATCACTCTTTGATCTAGTGTGTTTATACAATTATAATACCTTGTACACAAGTACTCCCTTACCTTGTAATGTGGGAAACCATTTAGTAATTAGTTCTTGGTCTATCAAGAAGCATCAGCAATCTTCAAGTTCTTATTATGAAGTAAACGATACTAAGAAATAAATCAATCACATAAATAACAATAGTAGTCACATTAGTAGACAATAATTACGGCTAATATATAGTATAATGCCTTCTTTCAAATTACTTAATATATAATAGGTCACTTAACCCACAGTTTTCCTATAAGGTAGATATCATTTAATACTATTTTATAGTTAAGGAAACTGGCATAGACAGGTAGAGTACCTCTCCCAAGGTCACAGGTTTTATAAGGAGAACTGAGGTTCGTACCAAGGCAATATGCTCTAGAGTTTGTGCCCTCTGCATAAAGCTACAAAGTACATTTAAAAATAATAATAATTGGAAAAATGACATTCTGTTGTTTCTGCAGGTATCATATGCTGATAGAGGAGTCTGACCCCCAAGTGTCTTGCTACATTACAGCACCATCACGTGTCCTACAGCAGCTGGAGTGCCGGATAGTTAACAGCATGAGTTGCTTAATAGTGAGTGATAATGAAGAGCTGGTTAGCAATGTCATCTCCATTGAATGCTCAGATAAGGAAGAGAAAATTCCATTTCCAATATGCATTGCAATTCCATTTACTGCACGTTACAGGGGAAATTACAGAGATATCATGGTGAAAGTGTCTGACATAAACCTTCAATCAAGTTACCTAACCCCAAATTCACTAGAAGGAATGAGAGGAAGTTACAAGGTCAGTAAATCCTTGGCTACATTTGCATTTGCTGTAGGGCAGACTAATAGATTGTATTGTAGATATAATGGCTCCATTGATAACAAAGGGTGGATAGGTTTGTGCCAATACATTTATACTTTTTTGCCATCTATAAAGATCAGAGAGCAGAAATGACTTGCCAATGTCAGGAATTGAGAACTTGGATCTAGGACTCAGCAAATGTTATTTTTTCACCTGAGAAACAAAAGTGACATCATAGTTTAATTAACTTCATGCTTTAGCCTAGCTTTAGAATAGCATATCTAATGTGTTGGACCCTGTCTAAATTTAAGAGTGTTAAAATCCCCATGTGTTAATGACTTTATTTTTATCATTCATAAGTTTTAAACTGTGCAAAAAAGAAAAAATTGTGTGTGCAGGCTTGTGTGTGCCTCCCTTGACCTAGTAATTAAGTCTATAAATGGAATTCAGCCTGCACATAGAAGATAGTGTGCATGGTGGTCAGTATTGGGGAAGTGGGGGAAGATTGGTGGGGTTTGATATCAGGTTTCTATACTTTCTGGCAGCATGAACTTGTGTAAATTAAAAACTCTATGACTTAGTTTCTTCATCTGAAAAATGAACATGATAATAGTGTCCACCTGATAAGATTGTAAGTATTAAGTAGACAACACATTTATGAGCCTAAGAGGAAACCTACAAATACATGCTAGTTGTTAATAAATTGTCACTTTTCATTATTGATTCTACTGTAATAAATCTGAAACTCTCTATGATCACAAATTCATACGTTGCAAAGAAAGAATATACACAATTATTAAATTTAGTACTGTAGAATTGATGGGGACTAATATTTGAGGTTCTTTTTAACCTATTAAAATATTTGTCTTTTCCACCTTTATGTAAGTGGAAAAGACAGAGCGTGGGGAATACATGTCAAAAATCTTTATAACACATCTCTACATTTTCTGGTTTTGGTTTTTCCAAACTACAAACAAGATTATGCAATTGAATAAGCAAACAAAGCCTATTCTAATCACCCTTTCCAACTCATTCAACTAATTCATTTTATATTTAGTCGAGCAAGTCATTAAGTATGAAAGTCTGATCCACACTGCCCTTTATTAGACTTTTTAGTCTGGCCAGTTTGCGTGACTGCCACAGTAAAGTAAAATCTGCTCCCAGCATGTGGGCTTTCCACAAAATGAGTTTGAAATTTGCTCAGTAAATGGATGATCAAAGCAAAAGAAAAAGAGAATCATTGTCTACCATGAAAAATAAAACCGTATACTTTTCCTCTTACAGTATTCTGATGGTAGTTATCCCTAGTTTTAGCTCAAGAAAACTTAAATCCTGGATTCTTTCCAGTTTTTTCTGTGGGTCCTATGACATTTAAAAATTCTAATTCCTAAAAACCCTTTTTGTTGTCCAGTGTCTGCCAAATGTGTTCTCCTGGTTTCCAGGAGACTTTTCTTGCCTGTTTCTCACTATTTTCCCTCTGGCCAGTTGAGAACATTCATGCCTTGAATTTTCCCAACAATGAATTCATGCAGTGATATTGTGAAATCTCCTCCTTAGTCAGCTTTCAAATGATAGATTATTTTCCATTGTGATTGTCCTTGAAATGTTTGTGAGTGTGTGTGCATGATTATCCACTCATGCTAGGGCGGAGTCCGGCTGGTGTTTGGGGAAGCATGAATACACCGAATTACATCTAAGTCTGCCTCCTCATTTTAAGCTTTGGTGATTACATGAGGAGGTCATTTTGTTTTCATTTATGTACTCAGTTCTCTTTTGTGTGATATAAAAAGCTTGAATATGTGCCTGCATATATGATTACACATTTGAATGTCACTACATAAAAAAGAAACGCAAATGTATCTTTCTGCAGTCATCTGCTCCCACTACATGAAGAGAAATAGAGAAAATGACTTAATTTTGGCATCCTAAAAGATTCTGAGCTGTCAGAAGGATGAATTTGCTAACAGTACAGGTGCTCCAGCATTTGAATAAACTACCCAAATAATGAAATTCTACTCCTCAGAATTCCCTAAGACAGGGCTGAATGTTCTGAATAAAAAAAGACTAGTATTTAAAATCCATTCTAGCTAAAGGAGTCTAGAATTCCAGAAGCAATTAATATTTGCAAGAACACTGAATATGATCGCCTATCATACATGTACATTTGGGAGGATCTAATTTTAAAAATACATGGACTTTTCTTTTTTGTGTGTCATGCAATCTGAATTTGAGAAGCTTTTAGTTAGCTGTTTCTACTTTATCTCACAGAAGAACCCATTTTCAGTTAATTGGATCATTCCAAATCCTGGTAATCATATTGACAACATATGGGTTTTTCTGAGAGTTCACAGAGTGTGGACAGCATGTACTTCCCCAGACAGTGATATAGCTTGTTTTTTTTTTTTTTTTTTTAATTTTTTATTGTGGGTTGTTCAAAACATTACAAATTTCTTGACATATCATATTCCACACTTTGATTCAAGTGGGTTATGAACTCCCACCTTCACCCCATACACAGATTGCAGAATCACATCAGTTACACATCCATTGATTTACAAATTGCCATACTAGTGTCTGTTGTGCTCCGCTGCCTTTCCCATCCTCCACCCTCCCCCCTCCCCACCTCTCCCCTCCCCTCCCCTCCTCTCTCTCTACCTCCTCCACTGTATAACCCTGAGGGTCTCCTTCCATTACCATGCAATTTTCCTTCTCTCTCCCTTTCCCTCCCACCTCTCATCCCTGTTAAATGTTAATCTTCTTCTCCTGTTCTTCGTCCCTACACTGTTCTTACTTACTCTCCTTATATCAAAGAAGACATTTGGCATTTGTTTTTTAGGGATTGGCTAGCTTCACTTAGCATAATCTGCTCTAATGCCATCCATTTCCCTGTAAATTCTATGATTTTGTCATTTTTTAATGCAGAGTAATACTCCATTGTGTATAAATGCCACATTTTTTTTATCCATTCGTCTATTGAAGGGCATCTAGGTTGGTTCCACAGTCTTGCTATTGTGAACTGTGCTGCTATGAACATCGATGTAGCAGTGTCCCTGTAGCATGCTCTTTTTAGGTCTTTAGGGAATAGACCGAGAAGGGGAATAGCTGGGTCAAATGGTGGCTCCATTCCCAGCTTTCCAAGAAATCTCCATACTGCTTTCCAAATTGGCTGCACCAATTTGCAGTCCCACCAGCAATGTACAAGTGTACCCTTTTCCCCACATCCTCACCAGCACTTGTTGTTGTTTGACTTCATAATGGCTGCCAATCTAACTAGAGTGAGATGGTATCTTAGGGTGGTTTTGATTTGCATTTCTCTGACTGCTAGAGATGGTGAGCATTTTTTCATGTACTTGTTGATTGATTGTATGTCCTCCTCTGAGAAGTGTCTGTTCAGGTCCTTGGCCCATTTGTTGATTGGGTTGTTTGTTCTCTTATTGTCTAATTTTTTGAGCTCTTTGTATACTCTGGATATTAGGGCTCTATCTGAAGTGTGAGGAGTAAAGATTTGTTCCCAGGATGTAGGCTCTCTATTTACCTCTCTTATTGTTTCTTTTGCTGAGAAAAAACTTTTTAGTTTGAGTAAGTCCCATTTGATTCTAGTTATTAACTTTTGTGCTATGGGTGTCCTATTGAGGAATTTGGAGCCCGACCCCACAGTATGTAGATCGTAGCCAACTTTTTCTTCTATCAGACGGCGTGTCTCTGATTTGATATCATGCTCCTTGATCCATCAATGCTGGATTTTTTAAAAATAAAGTTTAAGAGTTTATCATTCTTGCTATCTTGAATTTATTTTATTAAATCATCTTTAACTTTTATCTGCTTATCTATTTAAGAATATATAAGTAGTACATTTTTGAGCCCTATATTTTTTAAAAAAAACAGCAAAATATTTTACTTTATCTTGGTGAAAATTCTATTTCCACATGTTTCCTTTTAGGACTTTGAGTCTGTTCCCCCTACCACCCTCCCCACTGATATTAGTGCTGCCAAGAATAAGACTGAGTTCATATTGATTGTATTCCTTTTTACTTAATCTATTTTTTGCTGATGGAGGCTTATGGATTTATGTTTTATTTAATCCTATGTTTGAGTTTGCCACGCATGTTAGTCAGCTTTGTATTGCTGAGAATCAAATACCTGACAAGAACAACTTAGAGGAAGAAAGGTTTATTTTGGCTCATGGTTTCAGAGGTCTGAGTCCATAGTCAGCCAAGCCCTCAGCCTGAGGTGAGGCAGAAGGGTGTGGCAAAGGAAAGCTACTCACATTATGGCAGCTGGAAAGCAGAGAAAGAGAGAGAAAGGGGCTGAGGGTCCTTTCCAGGTGCAACCCCAGTGACCTACCTCCTCCAACAAGTCCCACCTCCCCGCAGTCCATACACCAGTGGGTTAATCCACTGATGAGGTGAGAGCCCTCATGATCCACTCATTGCCTCAAAGTTACTTCTCCAAGTCTTGTTGTATAGGGGACCATGCTTTCAACACTTCAGCTTTTGGGAGATATTTTGGACTCAAACCATAACACCACATTGAAGCTAGATGTAGATCGCTTTACATGATTATTTTCTAGTCATCAGTCAGCACTTTCTAACTCAAGTCTTTAATCAACGTCAGAAAATTAAATTCAATTATGCCTTTGATTTTTGCTTTTTTATGATTGTTTGGTCTCCTTCAAACAAATAATTAGTTTATGCCACATTGTAATGATTCTTTATCATACTTTGATCCTTTTTCATCTGAGCTTGTTATCTTATACTACCTTATCCTAATGTCCTTTTATCTTTTCCTGGTCTATCCTGATGACTTTCTGTTCCTGGGTTTTGTTTTCCTTCCTTCCTTCCTTCCTTCCTTCCTTCCTTCCTTCCTTTTTCTTTTTTTCTTTCTTTTTAAGTATGCTTACTGAGCAACATTAAACTCACAAAATAGAGTTCTATAATAATCTCCAATAATCTGTAATTTTTATTGTTCCAATGACTACAAAATACCAAAATGACAGT